CAGAAGGCTATTGATAAAATTGATAAAAGTGTTTGGAGCAAGAGTTCTCTCGAATCATCTTGGTTAATAATCCTTTGACCTGCAGCTCTGCTTTTAACGTTTTTAAAATAATTAATCATGCGGTTATTTCTATTGATTACACAGCTCAATTTGATTTTGTTTGACTGAGATTGTAATCCTTTGCAACCTTTGCAGACGTACAGGTACATGTCATCTCTATGATCGAGATTTGTTTCCCAGAAGAGATTATACTGTAGTTAGCTACACAACTAGCAACACAATAGGATTGTGCAGAGTGCAGGACACATGCATTGCAATCAGTGTTAGCTGTAGGTCTGAAGCAGACATCTGCTCTCCTGCCTGCTGGTCTAGTCAGTGTTCTTTGCACTTTTGTCAATTAAAGACGCTGGTGGGCTCTTTGGAGCAATTTGTTTCTAGGCCGCAGGCTCCTGTGATCAGGTGCAGAATATTCATGGCTCATTCTAACAGCTGTGGTGGCGACAGCTGGGCTGAGATTCGAGATGGCTCCTCATACTTCTTATGTTAACTTCTATCGCTCTTCCCTGAAGTTCCTACTGTATACTGCCTCGCCTGGCCCATGTTGTACAGATCTGGGTTAGAGAAGCACTGAGATTATAAACTGCTCAGGCCTATTCTTTTCTTGTGTGTGTGTGTGGTGAGGGGTGGTTGACTACTTTTTGTCTGCTCTTATTGCGACTTTGAACTTTGATTTACAGGTAAAATGTTGATTTTATAACAATAATAATTGCTTACACCTATACAGCACTTTTCTGGACACTCCACTCAAAGTGCTTTACAGGTAATGGGGATCCTCTCCACCACCACCAGTGTAGCCCCAACATGATGATCCAATGGCAGCCAGAGTGTCCAGAACACTCACCACACACCAGCTATCAGTGGGGAGAACAAAGCAATGAAGAAAATGTATTGATGGGGATTATTAGGAGGCCATGATTGGTAAGGGCCAATGGGAAATTTGGCCAGTACGCCAGGCTTACACCCTTACTCTTTCCGAGAAACACTCTGGGATTTTTAATGACCACATGGTCAGGACCTTGGTTTTACATCTCATCCGAAGAACGGCGCCTTTTTACAGTTTAGTGTCCTCCTCACACCTGCTGAGCTTCTGTGGGCTGCCAGTTGTGAGTTGCAGGGTGATATGGGTGCTGGCTAAGTGCTGATCACAAGACGATACACATTACACACCTCTTATCTGCCAGAGGAATGACTTGCTGGACCCCATCTTTCCTGGTTGCCAGAGCTATAAAAACCTTTTGCCTTTGTGTTTGCATTACAGGACAAGGCACCTCTGCCTCCAGCTGTACAACCTGCTGCTTTCCCAGATTGGGTGGATCAAATTGCCTGCTAACACCGGTCTTGTAGCTGTTCATCAACATGTGAAATTTACCGGAGATGTTTATGTGAGAGATTACCAGACAGTCATTTCAGCACGCCATCGTTTAGAAACTGCAAGTGTGTTGCTCTGAGAGGAAAAGAGCTGAAACACGGTCCAGTGCTATGATCTTTCCTTTAAAAACCTGAAAAGGGAGCCTGTAAGTGGGCAAATTGCATAGGTGACACAAACCTTATGGTCATTCTGCGCCATGTACACGTGACCTTGAGCAGTTCAAAAGTACGTCAATAGTATTTTATTGAGTACCTCTACACATAAGATGATAGAGAAGTGCAGTATGGCCTGTTATAATAACTAATGCTTTTTGACAGTAATGCAGGAATACATTCAAAGTTATCTGTACTATGGAAAGGAACAGTTACAACAAAACCAGCCCTCATCCTAATCTCCCTGCTGGTCAGGGAATGCTTACAGGTTTTATAATATAGAAGGGGATTCTACAGTAGATGTTGACTCTGCCCTTTTATACTGTATCTTTAGCATTAATGGTTGTACATGTATGTTGGCACAGAGGCCAAAGCATTGATTCAAGTCAAATAAGATTGATCCCACGTACTTTGTGCAGTCAATTAAAATTCAAGAGTTCTTTAAACAAACCACAGGAAATAGGGTGTTGGATACTTTATTGAAAGATGATGAGCATTACACTAAGTCCACATTTTGGCTTCACCGTCGTGGTGTTAAGAGGTAAGAGGCAAGCTTGCCCAGTTAGAATCCCATTATAAGACACGTCAACAGTTCTGAACAGTTCTGATACAAATGTCCATAACATTGAAGAAAACGCACTTGGAAAGGGAGACAGGGAGAGTGAGTCTAGTGTACTCTTGGATTTAGATCTAGTGAGAGCAGGTGATTGGCAGGAGCTGTGTTTGTCGGCTTTTTGTTATGAACTCTGTTAAAAACATGTTCGTACACGATTGTAAAAACATGATCAGCAGACCGATACAAATAACTGTGCATTCCTCGAGACCTATCTGTTTTCTTGTCAAAACAGAGCGGTGCCATTTTATTTTCCAACAACCGTAAATTACATTACAGGAGCAGAAGCGGCATAAAAAGACGAGAGAGAGAGAAGCCCCTTAAAAATAAAGGGAATAGCTGCCATTCAAACAGGGCGAAGAGTGTGAGTTGTAATTTGTGAATCACAGCATTGCTCAGCTTGCAAGTGCCAGTCATGTGTCAAAGTCTCATGATTACGATTAAGTAACCTCTTCCTGGGGGGCTTTATTACAAGTGTACTGGATGGGAAGGTCATCCCTTGTGTCTCAAGGACAGATGTCCTGGACAATCCAAACTGCAGCTTTCAGACTGTGTGAAACATGTTATTTACTTTAAGTTTTACATGCCTGCCTGCACAGGATGGTATTGCATTGTTGTCTTGCAGCCATGAGGCTCTGGGTTAAATTAAAGACCAGGGGTGCTGTCTGTGTGGAGCTTGTATGTTCTCCCCGTGTTTCCGGATGCTCTGGTTTCCACCTACTGTCTAAAGACACGCTGGTGGGTTAATTGGCTTCTGGAAAAATCAGCCCTGGTGTGAGTGTGTGTGTCTCTGACCTGCGATGGACTGGTGTCTTGTCCAGACTGTACCCTGCCTTTGTGCCTGAAGCTTGCCAGGATAGGTTACGACTCCTTCCCACAACCCTGAATTGGATAAAGAGGTCAGAAAATAGATAGATGGATGAAAGTCTGCCTGGCTGCACCGAAATAAAATGTGTTAAACTTCTTTGCAGAACAGCGTGATCTCTACACGAACCCAAATTTATCCAGTGACACCCAACGTGCCCTTTCCAGTTTTTTTCTACACTGGGTTTGTCAGGGGCTCTTTTCCATTAGCCTTGCTGCCATAAACACTATCACAATTAGTTCAGAGTTGATGAAAATAGCACTACGATACCTCTACTATTATGCTCGCAAAACACGTTTATTAAGATCAGAAAATGGGAGAAGAATGAAATACTTGTTTTGTTTGCAATATTCCTGAGGAGGTTTCTGCTTGAAGACAGTCAGGTTAGGAGGTGTGTTAATTCGGAGCTGAAAGGTGATAGGAAAGAAAAAATACATTTTAACTGTTAAAAACTCTTCGGCAGTGAGGAAAGCTTGACCGTTTCCCCATGGAATTAACTTCCACGTACCACTTTCTGCATTTAATGAGGGTGTGAAATTTCACTTTGAAAATACAAATGGCAAAAAATCTTAAAGTGCCCCCTTGGGGATGAATAAAGTATTTTGAATGGTACCGAATTGAATTGAAAAGGATGCTAATTATTGTCCTGTGTGAGGTTTAATACAGGGTGGGTACCAGGGTTTCATGTCTGTTTATTATCAAAACAGCTCAGAGATTCAAAACACATGCTTTCCCAAACACAATGAAAAAAACACAGCCCTGTGTGCAAGGGAAGAACAGTTTTACAGCTGTGTACCATAGTTTGCCAGGACTTTTCTCTTAAATCCCAATTGTTCTTTATTTCATCTTTCTTTGTTGTGAACATGGTGTGGGAGAGACATGAGTGGATAATGAACACACCATCGTTCTTACAATACTTCCATATGGCCTATAAATAGTTGCAGTTTGCATGATTTCTCGTTAATACTTAGGGGTAATAATTTATTTGTGTGGATAAGCATTTCATGCATAATACATAGGGCTGAGATTGTCTGTGTTTATTTGTCATATGGAGCAGTAAGTAAGCTTGTTTGTGTGATTGACTCCAGAAAAAAAGACCAGATGGCTATCAGTAATTCCCTTTCTGTTAGGCTGCTATCCTAACAGAATCTGAGTTCCCGTGATGGTCAAGACTCTCATTCTTCTTTTCTGATGCACAGGTGTGCTTTGACAGAAGAATTTTTCAAGCCTTCAAGTAGGAACACAACACAAAGTACATTTAGGGTTGAAAGTCCTAAACTCTTCTTTAGCCAAAGCATTGTGAGGGTCTGGAACCAAAGCACTCAGCCATGTTGCAGTAGTCAAGTCTATGGGATCCTTCCAGAAACAGCTGGAGGAGATCCGTGGATCGATAGGTTGTTAGGCGACAGAATGAGCAACATGGGACAAACAGGCAAAGGATGTTCCTCTACTTTTACAGCATTTCTTAAATACTTCTGTTTTTAAAACAGATTTTGACAAATAGCAACACCCAGCAATGCAGTGTTAATGGAATGTTAACTGAGAAGTTAGGCACTGGACATTTTGGATTCACCTTCTTTGTTGAGGGCCAGGCTCCTGGCTGTAAGACAAGGAGGACATACAAAGTGGAAGATACAGCAGGTTGGAGGAAGAGGGATGTAGAAATATTAATGCAAGGAAGAAAGATGGGCATGTTATGACACTCACAGCTCTTCAGGAATTTACATCATGGAGGAAGCAGAGGTGAGATATTGGTTGTTTTAATCTCTCTTGAGCTTTCATTCAAATACACGAAGTGGTGTTACAAAACAAGAATAAAACACAAAAGAGTTGTAAATACAAGTAAAATACAGCTATATTTTATCATAAATTGATTTCTGGAAATCATTAAGCACTAAATTCTTGTTTGAGATTCAAACAAAGAGCATTTAATTCTTTAAACATGTTAATCACAAACACAAATTTACTTTTCTCTTGAAGCTCAAGCTGAAATTGGAAATAGACCACATAAAATGAAAATATAATACATATTTCTGAAGTGACTTGTGAAAAAAAGATAAAAGCCAAAAAAGTTAATTAACTACCTCTGGAAAAGCTCTTCTCAAGAAGAGACTGCCGCACAAGTATAATGGATTTTCTTGACATGAAATTTGTTCTGAAGTCACTGCTGCACTTAAAAAAAAAGGGTTTACAAAGCTGATGAAAAAACTGACAATGCTTGATGTGGAGTTGCCAGGCAACCATGCAATTATCTTAGTTTTCCTTTTTTGCTCACAGAAAAGAAATTATTTAAAACTTAATAGGCTGCTTTACTGTTAATGTATATGTTACACAATTTGAAAATTAAATCCAGTTTGCATATATCATGTCCTCAATTTCAAATGTGTAATGTTTAGAGCAGATGGTAAAAAGCTTTCATTTTACCTTGAAATGCCCCCGTTAATAAATATTTAAGTATTTATTTGAATGAAATTTACATTGTAGGATTTACTCCAAAAACCACTTCAGGTTTCAATTTCAGTCACCTGTATTACAGATCTCATTCTCACTAACATATCTGGTTGATTTTGTATTTTTTATTTATCTCTCAAGTACAACAACACTCTGAATAGTAATAATAATTCCTTGCTAGGCAGTATTGGATTTGCAACACCGGTACTTGAATACAAGGACAGAGTTTGATCATCACTTGAAGGTCAGTCAGCGTCCTGTGGAGTGATCTGAAGGAGACAACTGCATCTCTGCATTTTGAACAGGGTCATCCCCTCCTCTGTCACCACACAAGGGCCCTCGCTTTGGAATTTGTGCGGAAAAGTCTCACTTGCTGGTCCATTAACAACTCGAAGTTCCCCTTAGACACAACCCCATCCCGTGCACTGCTCCAGCCTAGCTTATCTTCTGAGCCTGGACGAGTTACTTCAAGGTGGAATGGCGGCTGTCATCAGACTACGCCAGGACAAACAGTTCCTGAAAAGATGTATGAAAGAAAATTGATTAGAATTATAGCTGGCACAGAAGTGGATCCCATGGTGTTGTGGGTGTTTTGCGTGGGTTTCGTCCGGGAGCTCCAGTTTCCTCCCACAGTCCAAAGACATGCGGGTCCAGTACTGTAGTTTACGTGGCTTCTGGGAAAACAGGCTCTGGCGTGACCGTGTGTGTGTGGGTATCTGTGTGCCTGGCTTGCGTTGGACTGCAGTCCCATCCAGGGTGTAGCCTGCCCTGTGCCCGTTGCTTGTCAGGATAGACTCTGGCTCCATCACGACCCTAAGCTATTTGAAAATGGATGGATGGATTGCTTGGATGTCAAATCTATGGGGAAGAGTTACAGTAGGATCTGTACCCACAGTATCACTCCTTTACTTGCACTGTCAGATTTGTTTGTTTGTTTTGTTATGATATTTTTGCTTTGTATTGAACTTCATGCAAATGCTAATAGGCTTCCTCTAATTTGCTAACTGGCTAATGCAGCCTCTCGAGAACATTCTAAAAGCATTTAATGCATTCTCAGAAAGCAAAGTCAATGCCAGCGGAGAGTGTGGGATAAATGGCCTATTATTTGCAATGCCACAGAAGGACAGGCACGTGGAAAGTCCTGTTCCGTGCACAGCTGACGTGCACAGCCGTCGGTTCCAGAAAATAGCTTTCTGCTGAGTTATCTCCAGTTCAGGCCCATGATCCAGCACTTAGTCAGTCTGTATCACCCAACTCATAGTTACTGAGCCTGCTAGCGAAAGACACATAAAGCACAGGCCTTTCTGCAGGAGTCAGTGCAGACGCTCTTCTCCACTTAGTTGATATGAATGAGGAGTCTCCTAAATGGCTTTTTTCATACTATTAAAATACAATAAAATTGAACTCTTCCATCCAGACCCCAGGCAAGTGAGCAATGTTGGAAAAGAGCTTCATCACTGGCATATCACATTATTTTCATTTCGCAGGAATAAAGTGCAAGGAAAATGTGTTCCTTAATATTATAAAAGCATACACTGTATGTCTGAGTAGTATTGTATTGTGCCACAAATATTTGCTTTCTACAAATCTGCAGTTGTTACTGACACCAGTGCTTGGGTCCTGGGTTTGATTGCAGCCTGAGGATCCTTCTGTGTGGAGTCTCCACGTTTTCTCCAGGTTCTCTGATTTCCTCCCACCTTCCAAGGACATGCTGGTTAGGTTCAACCCTGTCTTATGCCCTGTGCTTCCAGGACAAGCTACTGTATGGATTTCCTTGACTCTTGACTGAATTAAGAAGCTTCCTAAGATATTATCAGCTGGAATATTAGCATTATGTAGATGCTACTTTTCTATTTGTTCATATGCGTAAGTGTGGGATGATCATGGTTCATTCAGCCAGAGAATTTTGGGAACACTTAACTTATGCCAACTGGAATCCTTCTCAAATGTACTTAATACTAACAGAAGTGCATTGAAAATACGATATTCTCCTTAGCGATTCCAGAAGGAATTAAAAATCTTGTTAAATACATGAAGAGTTAGTTTTTTCAGCCTTTAAATCTGATTTTTTGACCGCAATTATCTTTAAAAAACGGGGTAATTTGCTTTCAAAAACTTTCATAGAAATGGGATCTTGCAGTGCAGTACAAATTAAATTAAGCACATTATTGCAGTGCATTAGACAATTATTCTGTGCAAAGCAAAGACAAGTGATGTGCTTTTGCTCATTTCATTTGAGGCCTCACTTTATCGAAGCGTGAGCCTAGTAGTTAAATTGTTAGTACGAGAGAGACATTCTCCTCTTTGTATCTGATGCACCACCAGGAAACTTGTTCTGTTCGGGAGTTTTAAGATTTGCAGCTCAAGCACTGTGCAGCAGTCTATGAGAGACAGATTAGAATGGGCTCATATTAACCCAAGAGTCAAAAGGCCTCAAGTGCAAATCAGGAAAGGAGACGCAGATGGCAAGTTGGGTTGGCGTCACATTTAACTGAAACTGAACTTGGGTGGGGGGGATTGTACAGTACACTGTTTGGAAGGAAGCAATTTCTGACCATTTCAATCACCAGGAGTGTAGTTTCCAGGGCAGCTGGACTGGGGTTATGATCTTGGATACGGATCTGGCCCTGGAGGGCCCCAATCTAGTTATTCTTACAGGACTGATCTTACAAAATGCTTAATGACTGTTACATCCCTTCCCAACATCTGTAGTTAAGCCCTTATGACTCGGCCGACTGTATGTCATTCAGCTGATTCTGTTTAACAAGCTATCAGTGAATCTTGACGTCAGTAACTGACATTTGATTTGAGATACTGAGTAGGACGGCCGCTGCCAACAGGCGAACTTCACAGGATTTATTTCAGGCGTTGATAAATTTGTAATTTTTTTAAACTCAGCCTGCCAAGAAAAAAAAACAGAAAGGCATCAGCTTTTAACTTTCCTGCTTAGAGTTATAGTAACAAACGGCGATTTCCCACTTCTTAGTGACAGCGTGAGGAAGAAAACATCAGCACAGGAGCAAAACATAGGAAAAGCTAGACGCTAACACGAGGGTCAAAAGTGGACACCTATAAAAACCTCTTAGTACCACGGAGCGGAAAAAAAATAACATAATACTGTAGCGATATGCTCCATCATTTCGCTCCCCCAAGAATGGACTATTCCTGTGCCTTTTCCACTTTCCCTTCTTGATCACCTCTTTCCCGTCTTTCACGCCCTATAAGGACTGAGAAACGCTGTCTCTCCTGCTTTTCAATCAGAAAAGCAGTGACTCAAAGTATGAGGAACAGAAACCCACAGGGAAAAACGGCCTCCTCAACTCCTTACGTCCACGAGATGACTTAAACACGCCAATCATCGCAATACTGTTTATCATGATGAGATCACATTAAAGGCACTGCAGAGAATGGGGAATGTGGCCCTGAAGATCATCGGCCGTGGTCTCACAGAGATTAAACAGCTCTATAAGGACCGCTGCCGTGGTAGAATTCGGGCCATCACAGAGGACAGTCACCACCCTGGCACTGGGCTCTTCATCCCACTGCTCAGGCAGGAGATACAAGAGCATATGGTCACTTACCACCAGATTCTGCAATAGCTTCTACCCACAAGCAGTGCCCCTCGGACCACACCTACACCATCTACCTCATTATGATTTATTTATTGCACATCTGCAGTCATTATTTACATGTCTGCATTGTTTACATTCAAACTGTTTACTTGTACATTGTCTACTGTTTGTTTTATATATTGTCTTGATGCACTGTCTGCACTTTGTGTTTTTACACTTTTTTAACAATCGAGAGACTTTCTGTAAGTAAGAATTCCATTGTACCAGTACATGTACCGGTTACATATGGCAATCAAGTTCAAGGTCAAGTTCAAGTTATTGCGCCACAATAATTGCGTTTTAACAAGATACGTAATAAGGTATCACCCCCAACATAAGTCCCCTGCAATAAATCCATCACTCAGCTGTGGGAGCCAGCTCTAAAAGACCCATGTGGTTCAGGTCACTCAATTGTATTTTGAGGGAATAAAACTGCAGTATTTCCCGTTTCCTAACCCATACTGAGAGTCCTGTACGAACTGATGAAGCCCTCAGGTGCCACCTATCAAGATTTGAATGAAAAACCCGAAAACAAAAAGCACAGACAAAAATGTTTTGCTGCTTTATCCGTAAAAAAATATATTTGTTTAGACACCAGAAGCCACACTTCATCAGCATGAGGTTTTCTACAGTCTGTGAGGCCTTTTGTTTTTGGACTACTGCAAAAGGTGCGGGAAAAGCATTTCAGGTGGAACTTTGCTGCCCTGTTTGACAGCTGTGGTAAAAGGAAAAGGAGGTCAAACAGCTTTTCTTCAGTTACCACCCAAGCAAATTTGAAATTATTCAAAGGCGCGTAAAGTATTCCCGAGTAGTCCTACTGTACACCCACTCCCGTTTGCGTGTTTTTGCACTGATTAAATTTGTCTGAAAAGAAAAGAGAAAGACGTTTTTAGACAGCGTCTCTTACGCGCCAGTTCTCCTCTGTCCTTGAGGCGGTTTTGTACTAATGCTGTCATTTTGTGGCAAAGACGGGATAACATTAGAAGATGTTTTAAAGTGCATTTCTGTTTTGACAGAGCCTAAAATTAAAGCTCCCATTTAAAAAGAAGTCCATGATTCCAAAAGACTTCAAACTTTTTTTAAATTAAAACTTCGATTGCAATCCCTCCCTGTACTTACGGAAGAGGGAAGGGTGAGGGGTAAAGATGGCGTTTTAAAATGATTACAAAAAAAAGTGTGAAATTTAACATCCGTGGTGGACGTGTGTTGCGTGCAGGTGCAGACGGCAGAGACCTGCGTGCATGTTGTAGTGGTTTCACAACTTACCGTCTGTTTTTAGAGTTTTTGTCAAAGTTACACACGAGGTAGCAAGAAATTAACTGCCTTATGGACGGCTTCTGTAGTTCAGATTGTATAGGTCAAAACCGGTTTGGTTTGGTTTGGTTTGCGGTGACGAGCTTCCCCTATTAGTAATCGATTACTTAATTGAGCATGTACCTTTGCCTACTGCCACTTTACCTTTGCCTACTGCCCTGTCTCTCTCACACCTGAAGAAGGCTCCACGGCCGAAACGTTGTGTTCTCTTTCTTCTTTTTTTCAGCATGGAATAAACCTATTACTTGTTCCATGTACAGTATTGTTCGTTCTTATTCGCTCCATTTCGGCGACGCATTTACAGGATCTGGTCAATAAATTTGTGTTTCATAGATGACCAGGATTAAGGTATGGTAAGGCTGTTCTTTTAATATTTCAGCGAACACCCAGCACAAGCGGCGCTGTAGTGAAAGAGGCAGGAGACAGTAACTACAGCTCACTCGTGGTGTACGGGTGTGTGGGTCACTGGGAAAGGACAGGAACAGCAGGTGGGGGGCCAAGAGGGACGAGAGAGAGAGGGGGTAACGATGCGTTTGTATTATAAACGCACAATATTTAGATGTTGAATTGATTGTGTGTGCTTTGGCACCACTGTGATTTATTTTACCGGCCGTGCCAGTAAAAGTTGTTTGAATTTTGTAACACTGCTGGAGCTGCTCAGCTTGGGGGCTTGGCACCAGAGATGGAAAGGAAAAGCCCACCCCATCCCCAATATACAGAGAAGGGAAATGAGTCCGTAAATTAGCAGGCTTCAGAGACTCCCAGTCAGACCACTTCCGGGAGTGGGACGCTATAATATTGTGGCGCCCTCGCCTGGCGTTGCGCCCGAAGAGCGCCCGGCTGAGGTGCGCGGCGCGGGGCAGGATGGGAGGGACTGAGGGCTCCCGGCCAGCGCGGGTTGCACATTGGTCGTGGGCTGTTGGGCTGTCATGGAAATAGTTATCCCCAGTTTACAACCTTTTTATACCTGTACCCGCTTAATCACTCTATTCCTTTGTACCTGTACCCCAAGTGACCCTAGTGTGTTCCAGCTTGGTTATGTAACGCTACGGGGGTTCAGGCGGGCGACCTTGCGTCACTCAACAGGGACCCAGCCCGGTGAGCTAAAGAGAGATCTCTCTACAGCCCAGTAGCTGTAGTCCTGCTATCACAGGGAAGGGCGGCGACGTCACCGCTCTGGAAAGCCGGCTCTTACACACCCTGATGGCCGTATGCGTTACAGTTATAATCGTTTTTGTTTCCAGCTGTCTTTACTGCAGTGACGGTAATAGAAATCGGTAATCGAGAGCGGTTTCAATTCTAAAAAAGCATGAATTCCTGTCTGCATTCTCGCCGACCCCGTCTCGCTAAAATGAATTTTGTGTTGGTCGCGCTCACAGTGAATCCCGTTAAACTGTCTGCACACCCCAATCCCTGATTTGCAAAAAAAAAATCTGGTTTTAACTGACTATCCCATGCAGTACCAATGATAGCTATTAAACTAGGCAACATTAACAAGCCAGCTGAGTAATGCTGTTAATTTAAATAAGGCCTCACCATCTCTTGTCATCTAATCCAATTTTAATTTTTATATAATTATGCTTTTGATTTACACAACAAATAAACAAAAACTAAATATCTGCCTTAACTCTGGGGACTCCAAAAGAATTTTAAAAAATCTCCTTCCATTATCCAGGCAGGTGTGGGCAGGAACATCTGTTCAGTGAAGAAAGTATGAAATCTGACAAGTTGGGTGCTGTTGTTCTCTTTGTACTTATTTTTCCCAATTAATTATTTGAGATGACTAAATTCTTCTGCTTTTATTTAGTGTGTGAAAATCAGCAGTCTGCGTTCATTAAGGCTTCCTGATTTCTCTCTTCCCATTCTGTTATCTTCATTCAAAGCCCATTTGCAATGTTGCATCATTAGAACCCAGTTTTGGGGTTCAAGTTTAAGAATTCCAGGGGCGTGCCCACCTTCTCCCATATTAGAACAGTTTGCCCTGAATGCTATGTGAATCATTTAGCACAAAGATAGAGGCGGAATAATGTACAGTGTAGAGCAGTATCCAGTATAGTACTGAGCAATTGAGTGTGCACCCCAGATTCATATTGCCGTCTTGGGGTACCTCTGACTGCCACTGAGACACTGCTGACATCACCCCCAACAGTCCAAGAGGCCGTTCCCCCAATAAAAGAGATGTTGAGAACTCAGGTAAGTGCCCTGCTTTTTTCTTGAGAAATATACCCTGGGAATCTGGTAGATTTACTGTTTTTTCATGTAGTTTAATCATGTTTTTACTGTCCTTTTACTACCTAGAACCATAGATGTGCGCTATTAAACGTTTCCTGAAGACAACTGTATCCCAGGGTGCCGGGGTCTTTCTGTGGTCTAGTCCAGGCACAATCTGTGCAAGCGTTCTGTGGTAACATTTCACAAGATTTTGAGAAAAAGTTCATTAGAAACTCAGAACTCTGTCACACATATGTGAAGCGTGCAGGTTCTCCTAAAATAAAAAAAAATACAACTGAACCCCTTTTTCCATATTATTTGTAATAAGACAGTTAAAGGCTCTGGGCCCTTTGTGGGTGTGCTGTATAGTTAGTTGAGGTGGGAGTTCTTTGATTTTCGAGATAATGAAAGGCTTTATGAATCTCCAGCTGCAATAAGTTTCTGAAATGGCCACACGGTATAAATAGAGTTGATGGACGAAAAAATGGCTCCAGATGACAGAAAGGCTAATGTGCATAAACCGTTGGCTCCTTTCTTCCGTCCTTATGAATAAGCACAAGGGAGTTAGGAGACGGATTTGAGCAGAAGTCCAATCTTTCAGCTTTGCTGGCTCTCTTAATGAGACATTCGCAGTATTTATACTCGTGCATTGGTGATGAATCTGTAGGATAATGAATATAATGATTTTCTGCTGCTACTTGGTAACTGTATGCCAGTAAGAGACATAATTATCAGATGTGTGTAAATGCCACTCTTGATTGGAGGCTTTCTTGTTCTCGGCTAGATTGGCTATGTACTCCATTAAAAGGCAATGCTTCATATTCACTTTGCTTTAATGTCCTGCATATCAAATTCTGAATGGATAGAAGCCGCTGTCATAGGATCAGTCCCTCAGAGACACCGGCGCTCCAGCAGGGGCAGAGATTCTTTTAGAAGCCATGAACCTGAGCTGGCCTCTCATTGATCAATTTTGACAAAAGCATTTCTCTCTCATGTGCCTGTCAGTCCAAACCTGCGGGGAAAATGTGCCGCGATGGTAGGATTGCACCCGTGTCCGACTCTAGGATTAGTTTAAAAGTCAGAGTAGGGGTAAGGGGTAGGATGTAGGATTGTGGTATGAGTTAAGTGCGAAACACTGAGCTGTATTCTCAGAATTAGTCGGGTACTCACCTCCACGGACCACTAGGTAACAACTGAAAATCAAGGAATTCGGAAGAAAAGCATTTTGTGACTGATCACCCGCTTTTTTTTTACACACCCACCACCATTGCAATCCCCCGTTTTAAGATTCAGCATCACAGCTCCATGCTTCCCTGACATACCCACCTGTCAGAGTAGTGTATGTGGTGCACACTGCAAGCTCTGTCGCACTGTATAGGAGAGTCAGTGCTGAATGGAGGAGAGGTGTGTCTCTCACTGATCTCACTGCAAGATTGCAGGGGCCCAGCAAGGCACTGGGTACACTGTTTAGCCAAGACAACACTGGCTGACTAATGTCCATTCAGCCCTGGTTGTGTTCTGGCAGACTTGCAGACCCCTCCGTGTCAGTCAGCCAGTGGTATGGCCCAGGCTTCAGCAGGCAACGTCTGGGCCACAGGGCTGCTTGTCTCTGATGTTGATGGCCTGGCTGTCACCCATCCATTCTCCATACTGGATCACAGCAGCAGACAGTGAGCACACAACAGGATACAGCATGCTAGTCCATTGCAGAGCATGCACACAAATTCATTAAGGTTCTTAAGACAAGATGTGATTAGCTTTCAGCATAGTATGGCCACAAAGGTACAGACAGACCATAGAACGATTGTTTCCTATTCTGACCTCCATAGATAGGAGCACCAGAAGCTCATCAGAGGTGGAATTTAGCCATCTTCCTTACAGCCCTTTTTATAGGATGCACGTTATGTATTAGCACTTGGGACATTAACACAGTATCCAAATTGGGGAAGAATCTACCGTACCTTTTTGCTCATCATCACCAGCTCTTTCCAGTCCGCCACCGTGCTGGAGGATGGCGTCTCTTGTTGGCGGCGCTCCTGCAGGCCTCCATGCTGGTCTGCGGCTCTCGCTGGGCTGCACCCCAGGACCTGCGCTGCCCAGTTCAGGGCGATGTACTGGACCGAATGGGCACAGGGAAAGCACCGCTCTGGGCTGGCACCTCAGTCCCTTGTCATTTCCCTCCTGCAGGGCTCTGGAATCCAGTGAGCAAACTGTGTGGGAGAAGGAAAAGACGAACAGATGGTCATGTGAACCTGAGCTACACAGCTAATTCTGTTACAAAGCATTACTGCCACTGATCTCAGAAACATTACCTTAACTGAATATCTAATCATCAGTCCCCCTGAGGCAACAGAGGACTTTTCTCCCCTCCCTAAAGCAGAAAACCAATAACCTAATTAGGCCTCTCAGTGTAGGTCCCTTGTTTTGCGTCAGTAACACGTCCATGAGTAATAACCATTCTACGTGACCGCGTCAGTGATGGGGAGAAATTATGAGAATATCGTCTCAGATGCCGATTCTTACAAACTTGTTTCTTGCCAACAAATGCGCGCCCTTTGCTATTCTTGTTTTGGGGGGCTTGGCAAACAAAGGTTGTTGGGTTTTATGTGCTCAGCACTGTGTTCTGTCTCTCCCCAGAGTGCTAAGGTTGTACACTGCCTTGAATTTGAAACTAGGTAGGCTGCTTCTCCAGTCTGCTTCTTTCTTTAAAACTTACCTAAGAGTCCTTGTACTGCTCTTTGTGAGAAGACAATGTTCCGGCAGCTTCACATGCCTGCCCATGTGGTTTCCGAAGGCAGACGCAGCCAAGTGTGTAATCCAGTGAGCTGCAGTCTTGTTTAACTCCACAAGAGTGGAATTTGGGAGAGAGCCTTAAAGGGGGAATACATGCCGCTGTGCACTTCGTTTTGGAAGCCGTAATAGTCACAACTGTTTAAAATTTCAAGCTGAGCTCTTGCAAGCAAGAGATGGTCGATGCACAGCAGGCTCACGAAAATTAAATCTTAATTCAGTGGAAAGGGGGCTGGTACTGTTAAAGTTGGACATGTGCCAAGTGTGCCTCACAGCCTTTTTTTACTTCCTGATGCTTTATGAAAGTAAACCTTAGTAGATCTGCCTGGCAATATTGTATCATGTGTTTTCTGTGTAATCACTAATTTACCTTCCTCTAGCTATATATATATACAGCAGTCTGTGATCAGGTGACGGTTTACTCCAGTAAATGTTCATGAGGGTAAAGTCTCTCAGATCTTAAAGGCTTCTGATGAATTGCTAGCTATGCTATTAAACAGTCTAGTCATAAGAAGTACATTTCCGCTCATGTACTGTAGAATGTGAATCTGCTATCAGCTCTTGTTAAGGGCAAATAGTTTGAACCTCCTCATCCTCTTCCATCTTTGTTGTGTTGCTTTGTTTTAACTTAATTCTCAGTGTTAGTTTTGCACTTGTATAATAGCAAATTGTGCACCAAAAGAATAAAAAAATAAGAACAGAACACAAGCAAACTGCCCATCCAGAAAGAAATGCATCTTATTTGATATCTTCTGCACACGCACTCTGAATTCTCCAGGAGTTATTTGTACCCAAGAAACGTCGCTGTCTGTCCTTTTTATTTTTGCCATCACGCCAATTTGTCTCAGTCTAGCAGAACTTGTCATCTGCCTGGAGGGTATCTGAGAGGTTTTTTTATTTCCTGAGTTTGTTTTATCTCAACCTCCTGTGCACCTTCTTAAAATGACTGCGATCGCCGCTTCCCCTTGATTATTTCTTTTATCTGAAACACATAAGCTGCTGCCGAGGTGCAGCCGCAGTGAACTGGGACGCCGCACTTGGTGGCGTGACTCTGAGTAAGTGTTGTGAGGTGCCGCTGACTAAAGAGCTGTGAGTGGCGTGCAGCGATGAGCAGAGCTGGCGTAGAGATAAAACACATGGCATGCAAAGTCAAGTCCAAAACAATGTAGTGCACAACACTCCCCCCCCCTCCCTCCCCAGATGAATGACATCCGGCGTGACATTACTGCTCTCTGACCAAAGCAGTGTGGTCGTTTGTAATCATCCTCGAAATTGAGTGTCATTAAATACGCAAGACTCATCCCATTTACACTCTCTCTCTCTCTCTCTCTCTCTGTCTCTCTCTCTCTCTCTATCATTCAGCCCCTTGCCCTGGGCCCTGCACCCACATGTTGTTTTCACTGCGCCTTTCTCCTTTCCCCTTAACCTTCATTCTGCTACTTCAAGTCTATTCCTTCTTAACGTTTGTTTGCGGTTTCAGCATAAATATGTGACGTCCACCCCTCTGTGAAGCTCCTCCCTCCTGCCTGCCCTGCTTCTGTTGCGAAGGACACACTACACTCATGACGCCTGAACGAGAGAAGAGATCAGTCCGATCAGGGGCTGTGAGTCTCCTCCTTGGCAATCTGGCATTGCGTTTCCATCCCTGACCCGCCCCGGCCTGCACTTTCGGACCTCCAGCCAGCAGAGCTCTCCCTGCCTGACTCCCATTTTCGGTTCTGTCCTGTTTTCCTGCCTGCCTGATCTTTCCCCGTGGCCTGCCCATGTCCCTCTGTCCTTTGCAGTGCTCTCCCCCAGTGGTCCAGCCTGCTGCATGCTGCAGGCATCCAGCCTCCTGGCTGTGAAGAGCACAGCGAGGCGCTGCGGAGCTTACATCACACTGGACATGTCCTTCGGCAGGGGTGAGGTGCTCTTGGGGACACAGCATGTTCCCCGCAGTGGGCGTGGCACTGCCCCCCTTGGGGTGTCTGCCAACGGTGAGGATCACCTGCTGCGCTGGACTTGTCATCCTCCCGGGGGCGCCCTGGCCCGGCTGGGGACCAGGCGGCTCTGCCCTGCACCTGGGCGCGTGGCATAGCTGCCAGCTCTAGTGCACTCCTACCTGTTGTTGCCCACCAGACTCTGCTTCGGCCTGCCAGCGTTCTTGCCCACTTGTCCTGTCCTGTCCTGTCCTGTCCTGTCCTGTCCCTGGGACTCTGCACCAGGGCCCTGGCGCACCTCGGCTGCCCGCCCTGGCATGCTTGGCCTGGTCTCTGGAGTGTGTCAGCCACCACCCCTGGACTGCGACACCCTTGCCCTTGGGCCTGAAACACCTCCTGGCGTAACAGAAGGGGGCACACAGGAGAATGGCTGTCTTCACTTTAGATACAGGGCTGTTTGTAAACAACCTGAACACAGTGTCTTAATAGAATTATGCATTGGTGATATATACAGTAAAAGGCATTTGGGAGGAGGTCAGTTTCAGAATTCAGAAAGCAGTAGTGGAGGAGTCAAGGTGGCAGTTTTAAAATTTTCTGTGTGCAGCTGTAAAGTTGACATCAGCTGCACATCTCGATCATTCTTCTTTTCACAGCCTAACAGCAGACTGTCAAAACCCACTGTGCTGCACTGTGCTGTGAGAGCTGTGTGCTGTACTCCAGACGTAACCGCCTGTAAACCCCAGCTCCTCCTGCCCACACAGACCCGCAGAATTACATTAACCTGGCCACTGCCGGCATCTGCAGTATGTCAGACCTGATCTTTCCATTGAGCACTGTGGAGTGGACCAGGAGGAAGAGCTGTGCCCGATGGCGTCATCCTCCAGAGCCAGGTACTACGGGACTCTTAAAGAAGGGCGATGCTGGTGGGTCAGTACAGGAAACGAAGGGAAATACCAGCTGTCACATTCTTTTTCCTCTGACTTACAAGGTGGCCGTGCCATGATCGCATGTCCGTCCATTTTCTGACCAGTCGCCCTCCGGGAAGCAGTGGGCGCAAGGCGAGCAACACCCTGGACTGGACACTCACACGACGGCCAGTTTTCCCAGAAGACAATTAACCTAATAGCATGTCTTTGGACTGTGGGAGAAAAGTGATTTACCTGGATGAATCCCACAAGAGCACTGGGAGAACATGCAAACTCCATGCAGATAGAACCCCAGGAATTAATGTTTCTTTATTAGCCCTATACAATTTCTTGCATTAGGAATTCGTCTTTTCACATACCCCAGCTTTTCTCCATGGAGACACAGACACACAGACAGGGAGAGAAGCTTTGGGTCAGAGCGCAGGGTCAGCACTGCGATGCAGCAATGCTGGCCACTGTGCCACCACGCCCATGATCCCACGTTCCAATGGTAATAAGACACTGTGTCAGCAAAATTTGTATGCTTGGCATTGAATACCAAAGAGCAGGTATGATTTTTTTCTGAGAGAGACAGAAAAAATAATGTAACAGCTACTAAAAGTGATAAAACAGCGATACGATGTTGTATCTCAAACACTAGGAATGGGTAGTGTGTGTGTTTTAAGGTATTTTGGGAGAAAAAGATTCAGGGCTGAGTGTAATGTCAGAGAGATGTCATATGACGAGGGGTTAAAGGAACTAAATCCCTTTAGTCATAAACCAGGGTGGTTACATAGGAGTCCATTTCAAGTATTCCTAATCCTAAGAGATGGCCAAACCAAAAGATTAACTCAGGCTCAGACACGAAACAACACCTTGTAGAACATCGTTAGAAATCAAGAGGAAGTGCATTCAGCACTAAAAGCAGAGCTTTGAATGCTTGAAACAAAACTTGCAGTTAATGTGCTGTATTTGGTTGGATCTTACCGCCTGAGATGTAAACTGCTCGATGGAATTTCGGAATTAATAAATCATTCCCGAATAAAACTAGGAAGCTGGCCAAATTGCCACCACTATTATGTAACCATTCTGCAAGACCCTGACTGTCTGAAGCTCATTAGCTGAAACGGCAGTGGGGAAATCAAAATGTTGTCACTGGAGCCTGTGAAGGGCTTGTCATTACCAATATGAATTAAGAAAATGTTTTTTGGGGGGGAGTGAGGTGAGGGGGTGAGTGTTGTATTTCCGAGCCAGTTTTTTGGCGTTTCACATCAAATCATTGAGGCACAAATAATGAGATCATTACACTGCAGATCAGTTGACAGTCTTCCAATCCTAAGTTTTCATCGCTGTAAGCGGGAATTAATTAGTTATCCAATATATCCAAAACAATAGCTGTCACGTCCAATTGCCGTGGAGTCTCAGGACACTCTAGGATGGACACCAGCCACAGCATCATTATTTTTCACAGCTCGTGCTTCGTTTCAAAGATCAGAGCCACAGCTTTCCACAGTCGACCAAGGGACCTCCTCCGCGTGTTGCACGTCAGTACAGTGGAGAAAAAAAATATTGGGAGTAAGGGCCATGTCTTTAGAGAAGCAATGCTTAAGTTTATCTCCGAGATGTGTATTCCTATCTTTAAAAATCGATGGATGTCGTCTTATTGAAATGTACTGAAAGATTTATTTCTTATTAAACCCTTCCCATACTGGAAATCCATTGGATTGTGGACCTTAATGGGCCCATTATGATAGCAGCAGCTTCTTAGTTCCTGAGCACTCTTTGAGGGTCGTAAAGAGTCTCATCTATTATTAAATTATTGTCTTGACCACTGTATCACTGTAGCTCCCTGGTTCTGCAAAATCTAAAATTATCACAGCGCCTTTTCATAGCCTGGCAACCTCTGCAATAATGTGTCTCCTCTGCATTATTCAAACCCAAAGCTTTTGCTCTGACCTTCAGTATTATGGCATTACGATATTGTATTTTATTAAAAACATATATCTTAGTAATAAGCAACCTTTCCACACAAATGATAAATTCAATAATCAATCCTTCATTTTCTGCCTCTTGTTCGTCAGTACAATAATAGAATACTGTTGTGCGTCAGTATATTAGTTCATAACTTCACAAAGAAAGATCTAAAATCATGACATGAATATATCCGCAACCTGGGAAAAAATCAACTTTGACCTGTGTTCACGGTGCCTAAAATGAAATTTCCGAACAATTTCCAATGCAGTGTTAATTCTGTAATAAATTCTGACAAGGGACACGGCAGGTCACTCTATTTCCCTAATGAAGTTTTGACACTTCAACAACCTGAAATGTTAATGAAAACAGCACTTGGGGC